CACATAAAAATCATGAATTTTAGACAATCGAGGTTGCACACTAAAAGGTTGCTTGATATCCGTAGATTAATATGGTTTTGGCACGTGTTGCAAATTTTTCCGCATAGGAGATCCCTCGTTTTGCGTTGTTTGTTGATGCATTTGGTGGTGGTTGGAAGAATGTCAAAGGCGTTCAAACTAAGACCTCATTTAACGGTATATTAACTCTGACCAAGGGGCTCGGTCATATTGGTTGCGTTAGGTCTTCTGGTTGAGAATTCTAGGATCATTTCACCTGTTCGCTTGAGGCTTGGCACTCTTCAAACAACTATATAAACAGGTACATCGAGCTGGATCACATGTACACGTCAGTGCAACTCAAGGATCAAATAATGCAACAGAAATGGTCGCCCCATGACCTGAGAACGTACCGAAGCAGCAATCAAGGCGGAAGGACAGTTTCAGTTTGTACAGCCATTAACCACGCATATTCGTGCACCGGTTTTGGTTGCTGTCTTTTGGCTGTCCATTTGGATGAGGAATAAAGTTGAAAGTGGAGTCGAACAGAAAATGGAGAAGTTCAGTGGTCTAAGGTTGCAAAGACAACCCCCTCGCAGCAGTTAAACGGCGAACCGAATCGAACACAGTGAGAACAAGGAACGAAAGCAGTCGGTGGAGAAGACCACATCTATAAAAAAACGGGTAAAGCACAACACTACCACTTCACAAGCACTGATGATGTTACCTCGGCTGGTGATGAAACGTTTGCAAACAAATTACCAAGCTTGGCGAACAGGCAAAATGGAATTCAGTTCACCCGAGCTACGAGGACCGATTTTCAATACTTTGTCAACAATTATAGGATCATTCTAGTAGCTGGTTCAAGATAGCTGCCGCAACCGGTGTCGCTCATGCAGCTACTCAATTTTGCCCAACTATGTTCTAATTTGTTACTTCGATACCGCTTCTAGCTTTCTTGTTCGTCCATGTATTGCTTTATCATTTTTCGACCAAATGAGAAAGCGAAAGACGGCAACCAAATTCCTTCCATCTAGGCGTAAGGTTAATGCTCGTATGGACTGAAACAAAACTAGACTGAATGAGCTGGAAAAGCCATAGTTTGTCGTGTAGGAATGGATATATTGTGTTAAGATTTGTCCTACATTTGGGTCTCTCGACTCGCCACTATGAGCTGTGATCGCTTATTATGCATTGTAGCTCGTGGTTACTTTACACCCCTGTGTGGAGGCTTTGTATGGAATATGGCGTCATTCTGCTGTGTGAGTGAAAAAATAACGGGCGAAATAATATGCTATATATAACTTAATTTTTTGTTACAGTATCTTGTTATTTGGTTATATATTTTATATGTATTTCATACACGTCTGATGTCATTTGGTTAGGGTATGAACGGATCAGCGTCTTAATGTTTTCTCATGTCATCGGTCATCTTCGTGCACACGTTTCATCCAATTTCCCAAAACAGACGGTTCACCAGTGTTCCTTACCTTCTTACTTTCAAACTACTATTTTGCCCGCACTGGCCACAATTGGTTTTTCCTTGTTCAATCCAAATCTCTAGGTGGAATTCCCCGAGTCTCGAATCCACGAAGAAATGTTGTCCCTGCTCTCAGTGGCTAGTCGGGGTCTGAGTGATGCAGAACTACGCGACATTGCCGTTCGGAAAGCCAATTGCAGTTCGGGTGGGGGAACGGGTCCATTGGTGGGACACAATTCTATCCTGTTATCAACCGCTGTTCACGAACCAGATGATCCCGATTTGGACCAAACCTCTACGACCACAGCTACCGGGAGTTTATACAATCAGAATTTAAGCTCATCCAGTGGTGCCCCGGCCCGACCATCCACAATTTCCGGCCTGTCCGATCAATCAGCCGGACCCTCCCAACCCGGTCCGAGTACATCGCGAGTCCCTTTTGGGTCCGCGGTCCGACTTGGTCGACGCTGATCCACTCGTATTCCATTCCCGTCGCTTTGCTTCTGCCCGAACCTGCCATCTTCAGTCGCGAGGAGCACGAGAGTCGAGCCATTGATGCTCGGATGAGTCCTTCCCTCGCTGTTTGTGGATTACACTCGCTTTGCTGAGCGCTGTCGTACTCCCGTCAACGTACCCGTGATTATTTGGCTTGCCAGTACCGTTCAGACATCATTTATCTATCTACCTATTCATTCATTTGCCCTGTCTTACCACGTGCTGACGCACAATTCCGTTCGAAATGTCCACATTCTATGAGCGTCCGGTGAGGACAAGCTCCATTACCGCACTCTTGTTCTTCCGAAGCAGTTTTCTACAACCGCCTCAAATCAGATTGTTCAGATAAATGCTCACGCAGTGTTGCGTGATTGTGATAATGATCTCGCTACTCCGTGTCCTGAACCCCCTCCCAGTACACACACACACATTTCTCTCGCCCTAGTACAGTTCGGTCAGTGACATTTTGGGAAATGCCTGTGTATCACACAGGCACGGAACTGTATCCCTGTTCTGAGGAGGAGACGAGCACAAAAATAATTGCGATGATTTCTTTACTTATAATCAGTGATGAATATATTGATATTATACCCTCCACCCCCACCGGTCCCACTAATTCTTTTGCTCTCGCACATTTTCATCATCCACCTGTGTGTCTTCGCTCATCAACAGTCAGCTGATCAGTCTGTCTGTTTGCTTTTTTGTCTTTCTCTCTTTCCATCTGTCTGCTTGCTTGTCCTTCCTTGATAGGCACACAGATTTTATCTTTCTCAGATGATCATTATATTATGTGATTAAACAACACCTGCACTCCAACTAGGCTCCTGATCTCAACTTCTCACAGACGCGAGCACGCACACACACAAACTAATATGGTTTTCTCTCCAGACGGTGATCACCATCCCACCCACATACATACACACTCGATTGATCCATTGAATGATTGAATCCGGTGTGTGATGTGATGACGCGCACCGTTCCACAAATGTCGGTGTACTGTTGTCGGGACCGATCGCTATTTGTTGTGCCCACGTGAACAGATTAGCCGAAAAGCGTGCAATCGGACCACATTTGTGCCAGCCCATTTTGGGGATAGACAGTTTAGCTGTCTGTCGATCAGCGGAGCCATTTTGTAATGATGATGACGATGTTGAAGTGCTCGCTAGGTTCCCATGACTATGAGGTGTTGTGCCTCACCCCGTTCCTCCTCCCCCCGGCCCACCCACCTTCCTCAGTTGTGTATCGTGAAGAATCCACGTTTCACTTTCATCACTGCGACTAGTCTTGTTTTCAGAGTGTCCTATTGTCAGGGAAGAAACGATGCTTGATATAGTATTCGAATGCGTTCCGCTGCATATGACTGTAATTGTCCTGTTCGAGGTGGAGACCAGTTAAAAACAGGGGTAGTGCATGGGTTCGATGTAACTCTCAGTTTTGACTGTCTCAGACAGACAAGTCATAGCTTTGCTCTTTACTTAAACCAGCCTTGTTTCCTGTAGCTAACCACAGAAAACATCTTCATATTGCTAGTTCACAGCATATGCGAATCGAAGCGCTCGACTAGATGCCCGTAGTCGACGATGGTCTTCTTTCACATTCATTTGGGGAGCATGATGCAATGCACACCGAAAATCACATCCGAATTTGTATTTTTAAAACTATCAGTCAGTCGATAACGAATTTCAAAAAAGGGCTAACAGATTTATTTGACTAAGGCTGCACTGTCCCGAATCTAGTGACAGAATCACCTAGCCCACCAACTGATTGTTTTCACCGTCGGTGTCTGTGGACTTGAAGACAGTCGGGATCTCGACTTTTCCCCCACACCAACGAGATCTTTTCCTACGCACTCAACAATTCACCGACCTTCCTCCGGGAAAAAACACCATAGCCAACATATTAAAATGCATACGGTCCCATGATTTGAATTTTCACTGTCATTTCTCCTTGAAAACCCATTAGTTCAAACTAAACACAAATTTCGGTTTCATTCTTCTACCCACGTTATCTCAAAAGGCATAAGGTCTCCGGCCCAGACGGGCTCTCCCAGTCCGTTTTTAAGGATGGAGGTTTAGCATTGGTTTTGGAGTTAACCAAACTCCTAGGCTCAGTGTAGGAGAGGAAACAGGTTTCAACTGAATGGTGTGAATCGGTGATCATACCGATTTACAAGAAAGGTGGCAGATCCTCTTGTGAAAACCGCAGGAATTAGTTTGATCAAAATTGCTTCTAAACTTCTCGCTGGCATCATACTCCGTTGATTGTCTGCCGCCCATGAAGAGTGCGTGTGAGAATCAGGCTGGATTTAGACCTGGCCTTGTTTTATCGACCACATCTTCACTCTGCGCCAAATTCTGGAGCACCGGCATTCTTTTCGCTGTATCGACCACATCTTCACTCTGCGCCAAGTTCTGGAGCACCGGCATTCTTTTCGTAGAGCCACCATTTGTTTTCCTGGATCTGAAAGCGGCTTTCGACTCAGTCGACCGCTCTAAACTCTGGCGCTGCCTTTCTCTGAATGGCGTGCCCTCTATACTCATAGCCGAGTCCGAGTCTACAGCTCGTTTTCACCCGAGTTCACCACGGAAATTGGTGTTCGTTAAGGTTGCCCTCTCTCTCCATTTCTGTTTAACTTCGTTATAGATCTGATTATGGAAACAGCTCTATCCTCGTGTGAGGGTAGTGGCATCGATTTACTCCCAGGTGGCAGGCTGTTTGATCTAGAGTATGTAAACGACATTGTACTACTAAATGAAGATCCAGATAAGTTGCAAGCTTTTTTGGATAACTTGAATGCCAGTGTGACCATGTTCGGTATGCGTTTTGCACCTTCAAATTGTAAAATGTTGCTACAAGACTGGGTTGGTCCAGCACCCAGCCTCACTCTAACTAGGGAAGTAATAAAGCAGGTGGATAAGTTTTGTTATTTGGGCAACTACATCTCACCCGGTGGAGGTATCACAGATGAAGTGTCAGCTCGCATACAGAAGGCTCGATTGGCATATGCCAACTTGAGACATCTGCGGCACCGTCGCAACATCCGGCTGTCTGTGAAGGGTCGAGCGTATGCCGCGAAAGTTCGGCCAGTCCTGCTGTACGGTGCAGAAACTTGGCCATTACGGGAACAGGATAAAAATAGATTGTCGGTGTTCGAACACCGCTGTCTACGCAGCATTGCACGAATCTGGTGGGGTAGCCGGATGAGCAATGCTGAGGTTAGGGGCAGAGTTTTGGGTGAATACGGTCGCCCACTGGAGCAAGTGGTCGATCTCCATAGATTACGTCTGTTGGGATATGTGTTACGCATGTCACCAGATAGGTTACCACGGCGAGCGATGTTCGCCGAAGCAGACACCGAGTGGAAAAAGCCAGGGGTGGTCAAGCTAAGACCTGGCACGAGGGTAGGAAAACCCTAACCAGGAGACTGGTTCACATAGGTCCTGTTAGACTCCCTGACTGGGGACCCCAGGATGATCGTAACTGATGGTTAGAGACAGTGATATGGCTGGGTGTGGTAAACAGAGGCGTTCGTGTATGTTCTCAATTTATCTGTATCAATAATCCACTGAACGTTTCAAGCAGTCTGACGGCTGGTTGTTGATCGATCGGTCTAATTATTACTGTCGTCCTGTTGNTGTTGTGACGCGTGACATGACCTGCCTTCTTTGCGCTGATTGGTCCTTTTGTTGCATGGGGGTGTAGACTTGATCGATGTCAATGTGTCGGTTGACAGAGTTTTCCGATGAATACCAAGCTTCCAGAAACTCTCTTGCGTCCATGGTGCGGGCCTGATCGACGACTTTGGTGTTTTCGAAATCGAAGTTGTGTCCTTCTTGGTCTGTGAATTGAGATGAGTGAGAGTGCATCGTGTGTTTTGATGGCCAGTTTGTGTTCGTGCACGCGAGTTGCTAGTTTTCTCCCCGTTTGACCGATGTAGTGCTTGCTGCAGTCCTTGCAATTGATACAGTAGATCAGGTTCGATTTTTATCTTCTTTTAGCTTTTTGGTTTGCGATAAGATTCTCCGTAGGGTCGTCGTTGGTTTGTGGGCGACTTGAATGTTGTGCGGCTTCAGTATTCTCGTGGTCATTTCAGAGACGTTCTTCGCATACGGTAGGGTTTTTTGTTTGTTCGGTTGTCCATCTGTCCTTGTGTGTTGTTCTGTTCGCTTTATTGTCAGTTTGACGAAGTTGCGGGTGTAGCCGTTGCAGAGGAATACTTGATAGAGGTATTTCTCCTCTTGCTGCCTCAACTTTTCAGTGCTGCAGTGTGTTTTGGCCCTTTCGAAGGGTCCGAATGCAACTCTTCTTGTAACAGGTTAGGGGGTTGCTAGTGTATCCCAGGATTTGATCCGTGTGGGTCTTCTTTCTGTACACTGATGTTTCTAACGGGCCGGACAATGATCTTGTTACTAGGACATCGAGGAATGCCAATTTGTCATTTTGTTCCGTTTCCATGGTGAACTTGATATCTGGGAAGATCTTTTTGATGCTGTTGATCGCTTCGGGATCACGAACGTGTCGTCTACATATCTAAGCCAGAGTTTAGGCTGGAGTTGTGGTAGAATTGTTCTTTCGAGTTTTTGCATTACGGCTTCAGCAATGAATCCGGAAATTGGTGAACCTATGGGTGTTCCTTTCACCTGTTCATAGAATCCACCGTCGAAGTCAAAGTATATTTTTTTAAGCATAAGTCCATCAGCTCAGATATATTTGTGATCCAATGTTTGATGTATCTGTCGTTCCTCTAGCAGCTCTTTTAGGGTTTCCCTGGCCAAATCGAGGTTGATGGAGGTGAATAGAGAGGTGACGTCGAAAGATATCATCATTTCATCTGCGTCAATATTTACATTCTTCAATTTTTCTAAGAACTGTTTGGAGTTGTTGATGGAATGTTCGTAGCCGGCGATGAGAGGTTTGAGTCTCCTCCACAATCCGTTGGCCAGTTTGTAGATTGGTTTACCGGGAAGCTAGACTAT